GCTCATGCTGGCTGCTGGCTACACACGGTAGCCCATGGCAACCCACTGCCACAGGGGCTGCAGCCTACATCGCTGGCGACTCATGGCATCCCAGCTCCAGGTCGAGCTGTTGTTCAGCATCTTAGCTGTGGAGGGCAGTGTCACTGGTCCTCATATGTGGGATCCGAACCGGGACCTTCTGGCATCCCAAGCCAGTTCTTAACCATCGCGCCACTCGGCCGGCTCGTAACCATTTTTTTTCCATATAGAGTTGTTTAATATAACCCTTTTAAAGAGAACCAGTTTTTTAAAAGTTAATCACAACTCTTTCTCCCACTCAAAACAAAAAATAGCTTACTTTTGTGTCAAGGAAAAAAGTTGATTCTTTTTAAATACATGTTCTACTCATGTTAGTAAATTATGAGAAAATTGTTAATGCTTTTAAGACAATAAATATTGATATCTGAACATATTTGAGAGGAAAACACAGGAGCAGTATTTTTAAATGTTTTATATTTCCTATTGTAAAAGTAATAGGTGTTTATTTTGGAAAAAAATGAAAACATTATAAAAATATAACATTGAAAACTGAAATCCTAATTTATCTTTTCCCCTGCCACAGGTAATCACCGTTTTTTTTTAATATTTGGGAATCAGTGTGACAAAGTAAAGTACCTAGAGTCAGACTCTGAGAGAAAGATGGTACTAATAGACCTAGGCTTACATCCTACAACCTTAGAAACCCCAGAAGAGAGAAAACTTACTTTCCTTTCTGTTTCCAGCAAACTATTGTATAGGAGTCTCATTGGCCTGATTTGGGTCATTGTGCATCCTAGAGGCAATCTCTGTGGCTAGAGTGATGGAATGCTTTGTGTAGCCAGGATCACATTTTATTCCCACCCTGGAGTGTGGTGCAGGGGGTACATATAGTTTCAAACTATATGAATAAAGGGTAGGGAGCAAATAATTCTAAAGGAAAACTGAGATAACATTTCCCAGAGAAGGGAGAATGGTTGCTGAACAGGCAAAAACAATAGATGTACCCTAAAATAATTTTACATGTAATTGTTTTCCTTTCCCAATATAAATTAATCGTATTTTACAGTTTGTATGTTGATTTTTCTCTTTTAATGTGTATTATTTTATTAACTTATAGAACTTAAATTTGAACTCTTTAAGTACCGATATTTGCACTCTTATTACAAGTATAGTACCCTTGCTCTGGAGTATTCAGATATTATAACTTTAAATATTTTGTATATTTGGCAAGTTTGTTAAAATTGAGTTGGTAAATAATTTTATTACTGTGGGTGAACTTGATTAATAAACTGTAGTTTATAAATAGTAAATAAAATTTTTAAATATTTAAGTATATGTAGTTAATATGATTAAATGCTTGATTCTTTTAATTGCTTCATGTTTAAAAATCTGTAGAAACCACTTCATTTTGTGCATTATATGAAAAGTAAATCACTATAATTGTCATTATTGTCATTGGGTATTAACTTTATAGTTAATATTAATGTCTGATTCTGTATCTTTATGGATTATTCTGATGATTTGTGTATTTTTAGAGAAAATATAATTGAAGCAACACTGTTTACTCCACTGTCTTGTCTTTGTTTAAAAGAAATGTTAACGGCTCAGTTCAATGGACATTGGAACTTTTAATTGTTAACATTGGTGGCACAGGCTTTAGTGGAGACAGATGTATATTCTAAAACCCAACTCAATTGTTTTTGGATGTTGAGCAAGTTACTTAATCTCTCTGAACTTGAGTTTATCCCATTTGGAAAATGGAAATGATAATACCTATCTCATAGGGGTCTTGAGAGGATTAACTTAATTATTAATATATGCCAAATGTCTTGGATATAGTTGGTTCTCATTAAATGTAATTATTAATAATAACAATAATAGGGGGTGACCAGTTAGCTCAGTTGGTTAGAGCGTGGTGCTGATAACACCAAGGTTGATGGTTTGATCCTGCATGGGCCACTGTGAGCTGTGCCCTCCCTAAAACAGTCAACTATGCCATTGTATCATGAAGAAAGCAATGTGTAACCAATGACCATGGCTGGTCCCCAATAAAAGCTCAAAATCTTAATAATAATAATAATAATAACAATAACAAAAAATAATATCTAAAAAGATTTTATTTTCCCAGTTTCAGAATGATTAGCCATGGGGATTTAAAAATATATAGGTACCTGAGGAATTAACTATGTTCTTCATTCAGTTTGTCTTGATTTTAGCAGATTTTTAAATTCCATATTGCATATATAGCAATAAGCTAGAAAACTTTGCTTGAACAAAGTAATTCTTTCGACTGCCCAAGTATTTGAAGATTGCCTAATTTGAGTATTACTGTCATGTTGGGGAAATGTATTGAGAGAATTTTACATAAACTCCAAGCTTGGTACCTAATATTTTAGGTAGAAGATAGTACATTCCTTCACTATTTCATTGTATGTATTATATAAACTCTATTTTATTTATCCATTTATCTGTTGATAGACACTTGGATTTGCTTCTGCCTTTTGGCTATTGTGAATAATGCTGCTATGGAGCATGAGTGTTTTCTAAACACTCATATTTGCTAGTTAATTTTCCCACTGTTAAGCATCCCCACGTTTATTGCTGTAGCATAAGTATGATGAGAAGAGAATTAAACAAGGAGTTATTATATCTGGTTTCTGTTTCCAACTTTCTAGTAACCAGTTTTGTGATCTTGATGAAGTTGCTTAAAGTATCATCCTCTTTGGCCTGTTTCCTGTCATATTGAAAAATTTTAAGGACTCTTAGAGCTCTAATACTCTAGTATATTGTTTCCTTTTTTTCTGTATGTTTTATCTCAATGTTTTGAGGATATTGAGGCAGAACATGTACTGAATATATCTTTTGTCAAAAATCTGTGTATATGGGCCGTCTGAGTGGCTCAGTTGGTTAAGAGCTCACTCAAGACTTTGAGCTCTGAGCAACAGCGGTTCG